TTTTAGAAAAAAAAAAAAAAAAAAAAAAAAAATACATAAAACATGGGATAAGAGGCCAGTGTCACACTCATGCTTGTCTAAGGTGTGTGGCTTGTAGCTGCGTATTAGATATTCTGATCATGCTTAGCATGTTGCCGATGTCCATATGCATGTTCCAAACCATTTTTACTTATTTTCATGTTAATTAGGTCTTTACTATTATTGCTATGGCAATGCGAAAATCATGTCTACACATGTCATTTCTGAAGATGTAGTATAGGAGATGTGAATAGTTGTCAATTCTTCCTACCCAAGTTATACGCTGTTAAAGTTGTGGTTGTTGCTTATTTGTTCTTAACCCATACCATTGCTTTCTTACAAACCAATTTTCAAACGCTTTCTAAAACTTTATCTATCTTCGCTTTCTAAAAATATATCTTTAAGGAACGAGGTCGAAGGTTTGAGCATATGTTGTTTATGCCAATGACAATCCAAATTGGGTGACTTACTCGAGAATGAGAGTAAATGTCACACAATCGTGTTGCGAGTCTTGATAGTGTGCGATTGTGATACATAACACGTTGTGAGTATTAACTCCTCAAATCAATGAACAAATACATGAGAACCTAAACTAACTAGACTCGATGTTAACATAAAATATAAATCTATTTGGCGTCACTTTCAACTTTAAAGTAACTTATTAATTCACATGTCAACTTGAGCATATTTCAACTAATTAAGATATATACTATTGGTTAAAAAACCAGATGTTCAAATCTGTCTCATGTAAAAAGAAAAATATAAGTTTAACGTGATTTCCATTATTTCAAGATCACTCTCAAACATTCCATTTTCATGAAATTATTTCTTCGTGTGATAACTTATTTTAGTAATTTATGTTGTTTCATATTAACTTTGAAATGATGGATGAGTCCATTGGTCACGCCAATGAGTGGATATACAAGTAGCTTACTTATACGAACAAAGATCAAAGGTATATTTCTAACATATATATATTTCTTTTGTATAGGTAAAAATACGACACTCGCTACTTATTTAGATAACTCTAGTTCCTCTAGAGCACATTTGTTATAGGATAGTAATGATAGTTTTGCAAGAACACACGAGAATACAAATGTCTTTTTTTATCATTCAAAGATCGATGTATGAGTTTAAAACTTCCCATCTTCGTCATTTAACAAGCATTTGTCAATCGTTGTGAGATCCCACATTGGCCCAACATCTTTATTATTCTTATTCATTTTGATTTGTAGAATCTAAATCGACATATTAGAGTTACAACATTTGATGATCGAAGAAAAATTAGAGATAAATAATAAACATCTTTTGTAAGGCTGGCTTGTTCAGTGTAGTGTAACGAGTGTACTCTGTTTGAACGTTTGAAAGTTTTGAATCATTTTATATATGTATATTTATTTAGCCATGTAGTAATTAGATCAAGGAAATTGATGAAAAAGAAGAAATTTTGGGCCAAAAAAAACAAATCTCTTATTGGTTTCACTGCTTCTCTCCTACCGCTCTAAACTGTTTGGTTCTTTTTCCTCTTTATTTTTTCACTCGGTAAAAGAAAAAGAAAAAGACGAAAGATTCATTCTCCTTTACCTATTTATTCAAACACTGAAAACGAAGAAAATGAAAGAAAGAGAAGCTCAATCCAACCAACCACGAACCAAACCACCTTTCCCTTATTCGATTAGGTCCTCAGTTGGACGCTAAACCCCAAACCATGAATACAAGTCAACAAAAAGAAAATATCACTGAAATTATTTACATTTTTGTATGATATTTGAGGTAGAAAACATCAACATTAATTTTTGTTGACGAGCATACCATAGTTTAAAACGCCACTTTTAGACGTTAACTATCATAATAAAGTAGATGCTTTTTAGATAGTTGAACAATAAAAACTTCAACTACAATGATAATAATACAAAACTTGGACATCCAAACGTTATTCAAATAAAAACAAAAGGCTGACCTGGAATCATAAGAACGCCCAAGAACTGGTCAGTGGCATATCAAACAAATGCAGTTCATGGTACCATAAAGACGCCAGCCTGCAGGTACAAATGTAAAATCCAAAATTTTTTCATGTAAGTTTATTTAGACAACAAATACATTTAACCCCTTATCCATTTAAAGTTAGTACTACGAGAATTTGAACCTCTAACTTTAAAAGAAATAATACATATCAATTACTATCGATGAGTATGGAGGTTGATGAGTTTAGTGATAATATATGCAAAATGGGTTGGTTTCTCACATTTTTGACAATAAATTTATCGAGGACACCCAGGGATGGTAGCAGCCATTCAGAAAAATATATTGACTGATGCTCACAACTGCTCACTGTAAGATATTCGTCTGCAAGGCAATAAAAGCTATCAGATAAATGACTGAATATATAGAAAGTTGACCAAATCATTCCACTTTTGAGCATAATATGTAATCAAACCTGAGCCTCGAACAAAAACTCTGTGCGTTACAAAAGACTGCAAAACCCAAACAAATTAGTCTCTTTCTAAGGTTAGAATGATCAAAATATCATTCTGGTGGAGTACTTTGGAACTAGACTAAAATGGAATAAGACTTAAATACAAAATGACTAATTTTCCATTATTTGTTTATAATTTAAGAAAGATTCTAATGATAGTGCTTAAAAATGAGAATGTGTTTACAGTTGTAGTTTACTATAAGAAGACATTCCAACAACGAAAACAAAAAAAAGATAGCGATCATCAAATTTTCAAATAGAAACTAAGGCTTGATATAATTTTCAATCCAAACAAATAGATATGATTTCGTTTAATAACTATTTGGATTTGATTTTGGTTTTCATCTTTTCTATCTAAATACTAGAATTCTTTGCCAAATTCTAAAAACATAACTACATTTTTTTAGTTCTCAAAACATGATTTAGATTTTGAAGACGACTTTTAGAAGTAGATAATAAAACAAAGAAACCATTAGGTAGACTATTCATACACTTAATTTTTAAAAACTAAATAGTTAGCAAACGAGACTTATAATACTCGACTCCAAAACACAGAAGAAGAAGGAAAGGAAAACATTGAGCCTTGGGTACACCGCGAGGACAATGTCTCCAGAAAATCAGTGAATGATGCATTAAATTCAGAGGAAGGTGATGGTAACAACAGGAGCTTTGGATGTCTTGTCTCTTCTTATATGATTTAGGCACTGTTTGATAACAATTTTATTTCTAGTTTTTTATCCTTAAATTTATGTTTGTTTTCTTCTTCATTCAGGCAATACCTCAAGTCTGGTTAACGTGATCGAGAGACTTGTTATCTTTAAAATCTGACAACACTTCTAACTACGCAAGTTATGGCTTTCATAAAAGAAAATATAGGCAGGGAAAATTTCATAGATTACCTGCCATGCAGAAGGCATATACTCACGGTACAAAACTTGTCCACCATCGGTTTTCCCATGTCTTGATTCCGTCTCTGATAAAGATTTTTCACTGACACACAAGTTTGTGAGGGTTAGTGTATGTCATATCATCAAAAGAAGCATAGCTAGAAACAGAAATATCAAAATAACAATGTCCGTAGTTTTAATATTTCTCAAACCAAGGCTAAAGGGCTATTACAAAAGGAACGCTTTTCAATTGTTGATAATTATTAGTTCCAACAGAATTTATAGTGATTAAAGCAAGAGTGTTTACTCATCTATGAATAACTTGTCACACAAAGAACTTAATATTCTTTGGAATAAATCTTCCAAAAAGTAGAAAAAAACATAACCCCTATTGAGAGAAGAGTACATCAAACGACAGAAAGATTGTCGGTTTGCTCTCTTCCTTTGGAATCAATTTTTCATGACTTATGGGATTGTGTTGGCTCGCGACAAAGTCTGTTATTCTATGATAAGGAAGTGCTCCTGAACCCTCCTTCTCAAGATAAAGGAAAGCACTGTTGAAGGCTTCTTTTCTTTTCCCCCCCATTTGTGGGAAATTTAGCTTGAGATGAACGGTAGGATAATTAGAGAGGTTGAGAGGTCTTGGGAGGAGTTTTAAGGGTTAGCTAGATTTATTTATTTTTTGTGTGAGTATATTAATTACACTTTTTGTAATTACTTGTCACATTCTTTTGGATTGGATTCGTTCTTATAGTTAGTGTTGGGCCTCTTTTTTTGTGGGCTTGTTTTTTATGTCTTGCATTCTTTCATTTATCTCAATGAAATCTTGTCTTAAAAAAGACTAAATATAGTTAAAGTGAAATTTACAGTTTCCAACTCATATCAATACCTGAAAAGTTCATCAATTTGGAAATCAAGGTCACACCATATAGCATAACATCATTCTCCTTATTTTTCTTTTGATGGAAGAACCAATGAAGGTAGTTGCTTCCTATCCAAGAAAAGAGAGATTGAAAATGAAGCAACCAAAACATGGGCAAGAATAACAAAAGAATTGGTGATACGTAGATTCATATCATAGATCTCCCAATTCGCAAAGCAAGTCTTCAAGCAATATGAAGCATAATAGTCATAGAGAATTGTAACAAGTTATTAAAGTACTTGACCATGTGAAAGAAGCATGCAAGTCTATGGATCAGAGTGAGCATTCATATCTCAAATATGAAACGGTTAAGACTAGGCACGTATCACCAATCTTGTAAAGCATACCGAGTTAGGCAGTAAAGTACAAGAAACATAATTCTTCAAGAGTTAAGACTATGCTATGCAACTTTTTGTTTCACATATGGGAAAAAAAGTCCCTTTTGGCCTTAAACTCACCGTCTCACTATGTCAGAAGATCTATCCCCAAAAATGGTAGCTTTTGAAGCAATAACAATACTCGGATGCACCAGCAAAAGCTTTTTAACTTCTTCTACGGCCGCTTCTAACATATTTGCAAGAGAAAAGCCTTTCCTGAGAGAGTAAATACATAAAATTGTCATGACACTAGGAATACATAACAATGGGAACACAATTGTACATTGTTGAAACACCTTTTTTTTGGATGATTCTCACAAAATTATGCATGCGAGAAAAAAGTTACCATTGGCTTGTATGAGGTGTAGTTTAGTATTCTTTTATTATTGATGGTATCTATATGAAGTAGTAGGGGGAATAGTTTTCTAATTTTCTTTCTAATAAGAAACAATCACGTCAATGGAAAGAAGAGGGAGCCTACAAAATTTATAGACCAGGGAGATAAAGTCAACCCCTGCAAAGGAAGGAAATGGAGCTTGAGACGTTAACTCGAAGAGATGATTTGGAAATAAGTATTTGAGAGAGAAAAACGGGGATATCCTAGACTAGGATGTTTAATCTGTTCTTTAACAGAAAGAGAGATGATGTTATTAAACCTTGTAAAAGAACTAATCAAAGCAGCAGAAACCACCAAACATTCCTAGTATGTCTAATCAACTTTCCTGTACTTCAAATAGAGAGTGAGATTAAAATGAAGTAATATCCTCCGAATTTGTAAAAATGCATCTCTGAGGCACAAATCACATGATAAAAAGTAACTGGAGACTTTCTCTATCGCAAACCCTACTCCATCAGTAACTCACAATAAGAAGCTCATGCAAGACTTAAATTGGAATGCCTGAAAAAGTATAACCAGAAAAGAAACATGGCAGCTAATAATCTCCTTTTCCCAAAATTTAGTGAGAATTCTAATTTGACAAGTGTGCNCAACTAGACAATAATCGTGGTATATGTCATTTGTTTTTTCCCGAGCATTCTATCTTGAATGCCTCACATTAAATTAAGTCAATTAATAAATTATTAGTAAAATAAAAAAAAAAATCATAATTTTTAGATTTAATGATTCCTATCCTTATTCAATCATACTTCAATCAAGTCATTGTATATAAAGTATGGATAGAGGTAGCCATTAAATAATGCAAAAATTCACCCATATGCAAAGTGTGCATATATATATATATATATATATATATATATATATATATATATATATATATATATATATATAATTAAACAATTTAAAATTTGAAGGCACTACCTGTTGTAACCCCACAAAGGCAAGGATGAAGAGACACGATCAACCCAATGATAAGCTCCAATACTAAACAGAAAGAAGAAAGAAATGATTCCCAAATTCGACATTTATACATACAATTGGCTATTCAATAAGAAATTAGGCAAGCGCAGTACGTTGAGCAGAAGAAAAGATTTATAATTCTCACATATGTGCACCTTAATACAATTCCAACCTTTTTTCCTTTCCTTTTTATAAGAAACCTGAAGTAGCGTTATAAAAAAAAAAAAAAAAAAAAAAAAAAAGAAGCAACCTAAAAGACAGGAGCAAGGAAAAACTCAATCTTTGACTATTATCAAGAGATGGACACCTCTATTTTCTTTACAGGTGATTATTGCCACTGTATCCCAAACAATAGGAACAAGGGAGCGGGGAAACTCTGTGATGACTGTCTTGCCCTTTTTGTTGAGGATCGAAAGGTAATGTTTCTGTATAGGGATTTTCTAGTTAATGTGATGGATTTTTTTTTTTTTTTTTTTTTTTATGGAAGGCAAGGGACGGAAAGCGTATTTGTCGGTTGGCTTCTTATTCTGAAATTGATTGCGTTTTAGTTGTTGAAAAGGTTTTTTGGTGGATGAAAGAGGCTAATCTTCAATGAGGTTGAGGAAGGCTGTCCATCATTTTTGTTCAACACTCGCTGGAACAAAAAGTTAACTAAGACCACTATTTCTATGGAACTAGAAATATCGACCATAGTACCCTTCTTGTTGATGAGTTTCTCTATCCAAATGGTTTGTTTTGGAAAACGTTGAAGAACTTTGATTCAGTGGGGCTGATAGTAGGGCCTGGTAAGATGTTATTGGCCATTGGAAAAAATCTCATTTGAGTGATGTGAAAAAGGCTTCGTCTCTGGTGATCATTGATAATTTTATCCTTGTTTCCCTATATCTGTCATCTAGCTCAATTAAATAGGTCTTTCTATCGATAATGGTTGTGAGTTTTAGAGGTGGAGGAGATGGTGCCATCCCTATGACTAAGAAAATGAAAAAGCCATTTATTGTGTTCCCTTTCTCGAGTGAGCTGTTGCTAGGATAATCCATAATAGAGAAGATGGCAAGTCCCCTGTGACCGAGGAAAACTAATGTACAGTACTGGACTGCTTGGCGTAGGTCTCAACCTTCACAAGGAGAGGCCTCAAATTTGCAAATATGGCCTGCCGCAGGGGGCTGTAGGCACACAGGTCATGCTAAAGGTTGGCTGTCACGAGTAGCTGGTCGTAGGTGTGTTCACCAAAGATTTGGCATGTCTAGTGTCACCGTCGTAGGAAATATGTAGCACGTTGGAGGTGTCGCCCATCAAGATTTGGGCACCATCGGGAGACTCGTCGTCACATAAGAGATTCACCTTGAGGGTGAAGGGATTCATCGACATAGGTCACATTGTCACCGGAGTCCATCATTGTAGTTACATAATCGCTAGACTATCTCGTCGTGGGTCATGCTATGCTTCATCATTGACTAGTCGCCACTAATAAATGTAATTTTGTGCTTAACCTTGTGTTTTCTTAACTGCCATTACAAGTTACTAACTTTGGAGATTCTTTGGCCATTCCTTTCTAACCTTAATGTTTTTGCTATTCTTTTTATCGATTTGGGATTTTTCCTTTTTTTCAAAATAGAAAATTATAATGCTCTTGTCTATTGCAGCCCCACACTTAGTTTTCATCCTAGAAGACTCCTCCTTTCTAATGTTGAGTTAGGAAAGACAATGATGTAGGTGAAAGATTTTTCAATTCATTTTTGTTATCCAGATTGCTAGCCCAGAGCTCTTGGAAGGATATTCAATTTTCTCTAGAAGTTTATTTACAATCCAAAGTTTTAATCAATCCATTTATGGCAGATAAGTTTTTGAAGTTAAATGATGAATTTTCAGTTTTTGAATTTGAGGGTAAGTGGAGGTAAATTGGTAATTTCCATCGGAAAATTGAGAAATGGTCACAAAATGATAGTTCCCATCCTAAGTTGATATGGATATGGTGGTTGGATTTCTTTGCAAAAGCTTCATTTGCCTTACTGGAAAAGATATTGTTTTGAAGAAACTGGGCAGCATTTTGGGGGTTTAGTTTATCATACTCCTAATTGCATGGATTGTTCAGCTTTTAGAATTCAAGAGAAGAAATTTTAATGTGGCTTTATTCCAGCAGAATAGAGATCATTGACCAAAAATATGGAATGGTTTGTTTGATAACTCCAGAGTATCTAGACAAGCTTGCACATTTTAGATCATTTTCCATTGTTACTTGACGCAGGAGCATTCATTTGGGGTCCTTCCCCTTTTCAGTTCTACAACAGTTGGCTTATTCATTCGGAATATGGAAAAGTTATAGAGAAATCCCTTGTTCAAGATTGTTCTCAAGGATGGGCTGGATTTTTTTTATTAGTTCAAAGCTCAGAAAATTAATAGAAGATATCAAGAAATGATATGCTGAATTTGAAACAGAAAGGAAAAGAAAGGAACAAAGTCTCATACCTGAACTGGAGTTCTTTGATGCAAAATCAGAAACTAATGTGTTATCTCCTCTGAGCTAAACATCAGAATTGCGATTAAAGGTGAAATTATGGAGTTTTATTTCTCTGAGGAAAGAAATTGGATTAAAAATGTAAGTTGCATTGATTAAGCTTTCATCATTTCTTGGCAGCTAAAAAAAGAAAAAATCTGATTGCAGAACTGTTTTCTATTACTGGGGCTTCTCCTCTTGCTTAAAGAAAATTTGAGCAGGAAATTCTGGGGTTCTCTTTTTTATATTAAAAAAAAAAAAAAAAAAAAAAAAAAAAAACCAGGCAATTGTCCTATTCCTTCTAATCTTTGCTGGTCTACGGTGTCTTCTTATATTCTTATTAAAAGAAAATTCTGTTCTTATTGCTCCATTTTCTCTAGAAGAAATAAGAATGGGTATGAAAAACCTAAGAATTAGGCGTTAGGCCCTGATGGATACACAATTGAATTTTCTAGAAAGATTAGTATTTTTTGCGAGAAGACTTTCAAAGGTTATTAGAGGAATTTCAATCTAATGGCCACCTAAACTCTTGGCANTAGCCCCCCCCCCCCCCCCCAAAAAAAAGAACAATGAAAGTGCGTTAAGACGAGTATTTTCTACAGTACTCTTAGTAGCAAAACCAATTTAAAGTCCTTTGGCATAAATGACATGGCAGAGGAAGATAGAAAAAAAAAACATAAGAATGCAATCATCTTTATCTTTTATGTTCATGAAATAAATCGACAAATAAGAAGAAATTGGATACTCTATCTAGCAGGAGACGCATCACGAGGTTCCAAATTATTTTTAGCACAAACCTGTCGATCATGAGTAGATGCAACCGAATTCCAAGGTCATCTCTTTCTTTTTGAAGTTTATGGTGCATGGTCTGAAATTCAAAAGGTCTAAAGAATTAAATAGACAAATTGTACACAATGGAGGTTGCAGAAAATTATAGAGAGCCAACTTGAAGTACAAAGGTGGATAAAAACAGGAGATTGAAGATGCTGGATATTTGAATTAAAACAGTTCTTTTATTAGAAAACAGAGGGAAATTTTTAACGGCCACCAGGTTTTTGGAATGCCTATCAGGTTTTAGAATAAATTCAGCTAAATCTGCCATATGAGGATTAATATAGAAGACCAAAGCTGTCTCTTGTAGCCTCCAGGCTTCACTGTAAGGTTGAATCCTTACTTTTCCTTATCTTGGTCTACCACTAGGAGGTCACCAGACTGCTTCTTTTTGGTGGCCCATCATGGAGGAAATTATGAAATTGACTAGTGGAAGAGATTTCAATTATGAAGGTAGGCTGACTCATTGTTACTCAGTGTTTTTTAGCATTCCGTCATACTACAAATTAGTAACTTTTTGAGAAAAAATCAATTTATACTCCTAAACTTTGAGGGTTGCATCAATTGTGTCTTTGTAATTCATTTTCTAGCATTCTTTGGGATCTTAGCTTTCCAAAGATTTAATTTAAAGGGGGAAATCTCAAGTAGCAAACGAAGTTAGAAGGGAGACCAATAGAGAATCTTGCTATCCCTTGTTATGTAATTATATCCTTTTATCCATCAATTGAAAGCTTTTTCATTCACGGTTAAATCACCATTGAACCCAAAAGTTTAGGCTGATGTGTTATGGTATATTTAGTTTTGGGTTATTGTGAGACCAAATATGGAAGAATAATACATCGTCTATATAGTAGAGAATAATACATGATTTGTATAGTAGAGGATAATACATGATCTATATAGCAGAGTATATATTAGTACACATGGAAGTCCTAAACCAATAATAGTAAAATTACAATAAATGAAAAAAAGACTAATAAGCTCCTATATTTACCTATTTACTATTAAATACAATTTGACAGTGTCCTCACTTGTGGTTGCAAACCCAACAAGTGGAAATCAATATGAATTGGAGAGAGCTACCATTGAACTGAAAACTATAAGTTCATGTCAAATTTAATTTTTTTACATATAGTTTTAACAACTTCTTTGGTTTATAGATTGAGGCTTTATTCCTTTTTGTTATTTCATTTATTAATGAAATCTGTTTCTTAAAAAAAGGTATGCGAATGAAATGCATGAAGAAGGCTAACTTTGTTTTAAATAAGAAGAAATGTACCTTGAGAGTGGCAAGAAATTCAAAACTGTCATAGCAACGGATGTAAAAGAATCTTCTCAGGCATGTAGTATATAGTGCATCAAAATTTCCCCAATCTCCTGCGTTTGTGTGACTTATCAAATACATTTTTTTTAACAAGAAACAACTTCTCATTGGGGATATAATGAAAATGAAAAGGAAAATGATCAAAACATACAAACTCCTAAAGGTAGTGAAAAAAGAAAATAGAACCAGAAATAGGACAAGACAACAGAACAAGATCTTAAAACAATTTCGAACAAAAAGAACGACCAAAAAACAAAAAGGACTCATCAAACCAAAGCTCAACTCCAAAGAGAACTTGAACACAACAACTGAAAATAAGAAAATACAAGAAAAAGTAGGCTAAAATCCTCAGCCCAAAAAGATCTAACAAACCAGCTGAGATACTCCACAAACGAGAACCCCAAAACTTGAATTAGGTAAAGACCAAAAAAAGCTCTCTGGAAACTTTAGTAAAAAAAGGAGTCCTTAAAATGTTGAAGATGGAATTCCCCGTAATTCAAGATCACAAGCTTCAATAAGAGATACAAATTTGCTAGGCGCCAAAGAGGAAGAATGGAGAATCCCCTTATCATTTTCTTTAAATAAAAGCTCAAAATGATTAACCATAGGCTCCATAAGAGATTCCACACTGCTTAGGCTAACTTCATATTCAACATCAAAGTCATCACACCGAGAGGGGTGAAAGATGAACTGTAGGGTTTTGAATCACCTTATGAATAAAAAATGTACCTTATGTGGAGATAACTTTATGACTACTAGGAGTCGGGATTGAGGGCTTTGATGGAGGTAATGTTAGTAAGTTCTACTACCCCATTGTCTTAAAGAGGAGACCAAGAGACATGAAAAACTTTCTTCAACTAAATCAGGATCCATAATATTATCCTCAGTGGATGACTAAGAAGAAATGATTGGCTCACTAATAATAGCAAGTTGTAAAGAATCCTACGGTATTTGAAAGAAACTCTAGGTGTATATTATTTTAGAAACATAACCATTTCCAAGTTGAAGTGTCACTGATGCATATTGGGTTGAAAGTACTACTGATAGAAGATCTACTTCTGCTTATTGTTCTTTTGTTGGAGGAAATTTAGTTACATGATGTGGTAAAAAAAACAAAATGAAGTGGACAAGAGTGGTGTTGCAGTCAATTTAGGGCCTTACCCAATTGAATTTGTGAAAGTATATGGATTAACAGAATCCTTGAAAAACTGAAATTGTCTCAAAAGACACCTATGCACGTCTATTGTGACAACAAGACTGTCATTGCTATAATTCACAATCTAGTTCTACATGATAGAATGAAGCATACTGAAGTTTACAAGCATTTCATAAAGGAGAAGATTGCTGCATATGTAATATGCATATCTGATCTCCAACGACATAATAAACGGCTAATATTCTAACTAAAGGGCTCTTGAAAGGACAATTCGATCAACTTCGTTGGCTGTGGAAGACATCTATAAGTCCGCTTGAGGTGGAGTGTTTCTTTATATTTTGTAATATTAGATATGCATTATGTATATACTTATTATTTTAATCTGTAAGATTTTCTTCCTTATTGGTAGATGGTTTTTCTTCCATATAAGAAAGCCTCGTATTTAATCCATAATATACAAGAAATACAATGACATTTTCTTCTCATGCTTAAGTAACAAATAGGGAAAGCCTTGAAGATGGACAATATGTGTAGCCATTTATTTTTTATTTTAATGAAAATCTTCCATGACATCAAATCTCCTCTGTACCAAAACTTCTGTCCCCTTTTGTGTCTACAACATCTTCCCAATTATTTTTCCCTCTAATACCCTATGGATTATTTCCTCTACACTTTTTCACTACTCTGAGCTACTTGTCTAACACTTAGATTCATCTATCTTTTCTAGAGACACAAGTTGCGCGTTCATTAGGATACATGAAAATAGTAAAAATCTTTTTAGGAGCATCAAAACTAGGGAAAACAAAAAATACTGTCTCAAACTACTTCAGCAAATGATGCTCTACTTGACAACTGTGGTTTCCCTTTTTTTTTTTTAATTAACGAGAAATGAAACTTTCTGTTGGATAAGTTAAATGAAACTAATGCAAAAAAGGTACAAAGTCCACAAGTTCTCCATCTCCCCACCCAAGAAACAGACAACAATATTTCTTAAGCAAGCTGCGTGTTCATTAGGATACATGAAAATAGTAAGAAATGTTTTTAGGAACATCAAAACTAGGAAAGACAGAAAAGACAGTCTCAAACTCTTTCACGAACAGATACTCTACTTGCAATTGTAGTTTACCATTGTTTTCTTTTTTATTTTTAAAACGAGAAATGAAACTTTCCATTGGATAAGTGAAATGCAACTAATGCTCAAAAGATACAAAAGTCCACAATTTCTCTATCTCCCCATCCAAAAAACAGCCAACAATATTTCTCAAGTGAAATTACTGATTATGGATGACCTCTCCACCAACTGTGTAGCAAAGCTTGGAACAACATGTATACTGGAGCTATTGGCATGAAAGTTCACCCATCTTAGTTAATCACAAAAGCTACTTTCATCAAGAAAAGAAAGAGAATAATGAAGGGCATAGAAAGAAACAGCCCAACATAAAAGGAACTTCCAAACCTCAAACTAGATATACAAAAAGTGGGGTTCAAAAAAATCTCCCATTCCGCTCGAACCATAAGCAATGAGGATTTTCTTGGGCACTTTAAGCTTCCATAACAAGGTAAATAAAGATCAAGGATGGTGAGAGTCACACAAAAGATTAAAGAAGATTTACAGGAAAAACCCTTCAGAGGGTCAAAGGGATCCAGAGAAAAAGTTCCCACTCCCCCACATTTGCACAGACTGATTCCAACAAAGAAAGTAAGGATCAAATATCCCCAGCCTCCCTACCGGACAAAGACCGGTGAAAACATAGATTAAGCAATGAAGACCTTCAAGGTCGTCAATTTCATCTCCAAGGCCAGAGATTGAACCAATCATTGTCTTAAATCGTGATTGGAAGCTAGATTGCCAATCTTTCTTGGAAATTCTCCATAGATATCTTAGAATATAAGCAAGGTTATTTTTCCTTCGCTATTCTGTGTGCACATCAAAGAAATAGAATCCTCCAAGAAAAATAGTAAATAACTAATATTTTACTGTGAGCGCTATTTTCTTATTAGGCAAGCAGAATAGCAATCATCAAGACTAGCTCTATATCAAATGTATAACAGAAGCATATGTACAGATTAATAACTCAAAGACGCAATAAATCCTAGAAATGACCCGAGACATTACAGATATCATTAAGCAAAATTTCAGCTCGTGGAGATAACCTTGAAGTAAATATATTATCAATATTAAATGGCACAAATAGCTCACCGCTGCCATTTCCTTCCAAAATTCGAAGCTTCAAAACTTGGGAAAGCCTTGAGATGTCAAGACGACAATCCAAGTCAATGAACACCACCGAACACTCCAAGCCTCCATAGCGGATCCCATTCCACTCCTTGGGAAGAATGCAATTAACTGCAGCCTGCTCACAGAAGCAGTCTACTTTTAATATCCCACAAATTGTTCTCAAATTCTTTCGAGGTAAATCACCAACAATTTTTCATCGAAGTTGTCAATTATAAACGATGCAAGAAGTTCAAACGGACAAATTCAACTTGATAATTAGACCTGGATTAAGATCTGCGTCTTGGCGGAACCAGAGGGTCCAACAAGCTCGACCACATTGCCGACGTGGAGAGGAACTCTGTGGAGAGGCGGAACAAGCAAGGAGGTTCGCTCTTTGTGGACTCTAGTAAGCATCTCCGCGGCGGTCTCATCGCCGTCGATCCACTGGCGGAGCGCCATTGCAACGCGCTTATTTGGCCGGAACCCTGCGACAGTTTTTACGTTGAAGATTGAAAGAGTATTAAATTTATGTTCCTAAATTATAGAAAATACATTTAACTTTCTATTAGTTTCAATAATAGGTTTAAATTTGTTAAAAAAAAATGTTTTTATAGTTAGTTTCATTAATATTTTATTCTACAAATATCTCAACTTTAATAAAATAAAATAATAAATAAATAAAAAAAACTCCGAACTTATAAAAAATTACATTAATACCCTTAACTTGAATTCAAATCTACAATAGCTCGAAGCTCAAGATCAACCAACGTCCTACTTGTGACACATATAAGAAATTTGAGAATTAACTGTCATGGTCATAAAAAAAAATTTACACTGACGAGTTTAAATGCGAGCAATTAGGCCTTATCAGTCAAATTGTCAAAGGTTTGGTTAACATCAAAGAGAAAATGCATCGTGGCAGTGCTAAATAAGACATTGCCCAAGATCGGAGTGCTTATGACAAGGAATCCTTTGTTTAATTTATGGAGAATTTTGGGGATGAAGAATGAGGCAAATGATCTTGACGAGGATGAGCTGCTCGGAGGGAAGGTTGGGGTGGAGAAAGGAGTTTCATTCCAATCGTCATTGTCGGTGTAACAATTGAGCCTCGAAGTCAATGAATTTTCAACGTATCTTTTAAAATTTCAACTCGTGGAGTTTTATCGAGAATTTTAGAGGTTGAATTTCGTCTCGGGAAATTAAGTTTAAGGTGGGGAAGGAAGGAATTTTAATGCACTACCAAAATGGAAAAAAATTGGAAAAGAAAAAGAACAAAATGGTTATTTTTTCAAACTTTTAGTAAATTTCTTGAATTTTTAATTAATTATGGAGAAGGAGGTAAAAAAATAAAATAAACAAAATGAGGCCAAAAAAAAAAGTTGGATTTTTTAATAAGATATTTTTAAAAATAGAAAATTACAAAAAGACCCCTAAACTATTTGGTAATTGCACAACAAACCTTAAAATCACAACAAATTCAATTTTTGGACCGACCACATACGATTCAAACAATGATATCTTGAGATCGAACGGTTATGTTAAGCCTAAATTTTAATGGGACCTTAAGAGGCTGATGCCTAGGTATCGAACGATGGAAATTATTATGACTCGTAAGTACTAAAATTTTAGAATAAAGGTTTATATGTTATGACTCGTGGAGCAGGGCAGAATGTGCCTCAAGTCTTATAAACCGTCTTATAAACCTAAGATGACAGCTCTAGATGATTACAGTAATGATGAATCTAGTCTAGAAATATGAACCATAAAAGACAATTACAGGAATACTAGTTGCAGTACCTATTATCCAAAGAGGAAACCTTCCGGTAGTTTCAACTATTTGTCCTGCTTCTCTCCATATGTCATCAAATGGTCGTACTAGAGACAAAAACAGTCATAGATAATTATGAGACGATATACTTCTAAATGAAAAAAGATAATTTGTACCGTTACTTAGTATTATATTTTCTCAAAACTTCCGTCGCTCTATCATGGGCAGAGAACCTATCCCTATTTCGGTTGTGCTATCGGAGGTTTTAGGAAAATCGGAATATGAAAGCACTCATCTTGGGCTAGATACTTGGATGCTTTCAGCAGTTATCTGCTTCATACTTGGTTACCCAGCGTTTCCTGTGGGCACGATAACTAATACACCAAAGGCGAGAGATTGAAAAACTTTATTTCAAATTTACCCTTCTAATTCTTTAATTTTGATTTGTGGCCCACATTAGTTCATTTATTTGAAAACCAATGAAAAATAATCTTTGTTTGTAAAAAGCAAAGTGCCGTTAAAATTCAAACTTGGACACGTGACATTTGACCGTTGGAGGCAAGACGGAAAGAAGTGCCGGGACTTTGTCGCGGGCTTGTATGAACGCCACCTTCCTCCTTCATCCTCACTCTCAACTCTCGCCCATTCTTCAGGCAAACATCATGAGACGCCATGGCTGGCAGCGCCCTCTCCATCCTTTACAGGTTAGCCTAATTTCTGAATTTTTTCCTGCTTCCTTGTGTTTCTAGATGGAGAAATCGGTCACTTTTAGGGTTTCAATGAACGGAACTTGAGTTCTTGTCGATTTAATACAATGCATCTGCAGACTAGAAGCCTTTGTAATCTTATTTCCTTCCTTCTGCTTTCAGATTGTAGCCATCGCGATTTACAGCTTTCTAGTAATGGCGTTCTACACTTTCTTGGGGCTTTTCCTTGGAAACAGAGTCGCCGAAATTACAGTCACGACGCTTTTTTCGTTTGTGGTATTGTAATCGGATGGAGCTTGGATCTCTCTCTCTCTCTCGATTTCTCGATTTCTCGAACTACTTCTCCGAAGATCTTTACTGGTTTCTGTTTGATCGTTATATTCAGGTGCTTTCAGTGATGTTTCTATTCATAAGGTGCACGGCTATTGATCCAACCGACAAAACCAGCGTCCGAAACAAGAAGAAGATGGAATCAAAATCCAAATCCAAGAGTTTCTCTAGAATTAATTTTGGATTAATGCTCAGGCAAATCGTTTTGAGGCGCTTTAGGAATATAGAAAGAAAGATTCTCAAAACATTCATCCGGAGGAAGTATCTGGATCCATGGAAGGTTGGCCCTCAAATGGAGCCTTTGCTCCCTTATCTTCTTGTAACGAAGGATGATGTGATCACTCCTGATCCCAAGGAGGAGGAGGATGTAACATTTTGCTCTCTCTGTAATTTCGAGGTACTTAATGTTTATGTAATTAATGTTTGTATCCAATCCATTCCAAGCCTGCTTATGATCCTTATCAAACTCCTTCTTGCAATACAGGTGAAGAGGCACAGCAAGCACTGTCGGACCTGCAATCGTTGCGTTGAAGGATTCGATCACCATTGCAGGGTAATATACAAATATCCTACAAATTAATTTCATCATTTTTCATGTTTCTATGCATAGCTTTCTTGATTCCCGATGAATGGTTGTTTTTGTTTGTTCTCAGTGGCTAAACAACTGTGTTGGCAAAAAGAACTATACCACATTCTTTCTTCTGATGATATTCGTGTTGTTAATGGTTAGTCGCCCATTTACTTTTGAGTATTGTCCAAGTATGATTCTATGAAAATCTGGTTAACAAAACAAATTGGGCGGATTCAGCTAGCAATCCAAGGAGGAACGGCCATTGCCATATTCGTACGGTGTTTTGCAGATAAGAAAGGAATGGAAATGGAGCTGCAAAGAAGGTTCCACAGAGATTTTCCAAGAGAAGCGCTTGCCACAATTTCAGTAAGTTTTCCTCAAATTTTCTGTTTTAATGGAGATTGGTTTGACACAAGTTAACCAAATTCCTCAAATGGCATGACAGGTCTTGCTTGTGTTGCTGACTGCTTATGGTTCAGCAGCACTTGGACAACTATTTTTCTTTCACCTAGTTCTCATACAAAAGGTAGATTTTCTTTTTCCTCTAACTTGATTGATTATGGCATCCAAGGATGAGTCTGTTCTTCAATATATAGCCACTGGTTTCAGGGAATGAGAACATATGATTACATACTGGCCATGAAAGAGGAGAGCCAATCTATTATTGAGGATCCATTTGATGAGGACTACTCGGATTTCTCTTCAGACGACGATTTCGATTCGCCCGAGAAAACGCCAACTTCGGTGTCACGTTTTGGCTTGTGCCAAGGAGGACGAGTCAAAGAGGTAATTGTAGTTTAAGCTCCAAACTGCAGTCTTGATGATGTAGTGTAAATATCAATGGTATGCCTGAATCTATCGTGTTGTCCGTTTAGGATTCAACAAGATTGTCCATAAAAATAGATGCAAATCCCCAGACTCCATCCACCGGAAAACAAGGCCTTCGTATCAGTATCAATCCATGGAAATTGATAACTCTGAGCAGAGACAAGGCTCTTGCAGCGGCTGAGAAAGCCAAGGAAAAGCTTGAGAAATCCAAACAGGACTACCTGAAGCCCCTGCCACTAGAGACCAAATCTGGCCTACTGACTGACACTATTACTACTAGTACTGGTAATTGTGATGATATAGATGGAAGGGGGAGCTGGGGGAATGCAAACAGTTCATGTGATGGGGTGCTGCCTAAGGCTAAGGGGAAGATTCCTTCTGGTTCCCCGGAAAGTTTTTCGAGCCCAAGGAGACGTAGCTCAAGCTCCCTTAACACGGTCCCAGCCTCGGTCGCTTGGGCGGCATCCATATCCCCAAAGCACAACAAGTACAGAAGAAATTTTGACCTGAAGTTGACACAAGTGTCCAAAGAGCTCGAGACCTACATTTCAAGACAGGTTTTATGCTCCATTATTAAGAAGGAAGAGAGTGTGGCCTCCCCAAGATAGTGTTGTTTTGACCGTTAGATATGTATAGAAAGTTCTTTTAGATCATATCTTCTCCTTTTGAGTGTGCTCGGTCGTGGTAGCTATTTTTGAACTCTTCTTCCCAAAGAGATCTTGCTCAGCATCATCTTTGCTTAAGTGATTGATTCAAATGCTTACTATTTACTTGACCAGCACTAGCTTTGATAGATTAAGGAGAGTTTCTTCATCAAAGCACTCTATCTAAACCTTCTAAACCTTGAATTAAATAATGCTCTCATCTCAACCCTTTTTTGAGATTATCTGCAAGCAAGCCTTCGAGGATTCAACGAAGCATTGGCTCAAAAACGTATCAAATACTTGATACGTGTCGAAGTATAGGTTCAATATTTGTTACAAACGTATTGAACACGTGTAAATGTACTAAATAGACACATAATAAACAAATTCTTTAGAACAAAATACATCAAACTCGTTTTTAGCCATTAAATGTATAAATTTATTGACTTTAAAATTTCTTCGATAAAAATAATATATCTACAAAAAAAAAAAAAGTATATTTTAATAAATGTCATTGTCACATCGTTGCCTTAAATTTTTAAACTGTCACAATGTCCATATCGTATCATATCATACCTATGTCTCGTATCTGTATCTATGCTCCTATACAATACATTACATATTCGATATCAATGAATATAGTACACGTTTCTTGTCATGAGATATCACCAACATTTCTTTATCACTAATAAACATCGGTTAACAATCATTAATAGACCAATAGACATCTATCACTAAATAGACTTCTATGCTAACGGACGTCTATTAGTGATACACATTTGTTCGAGGATTTTGTCCCCCAAATTTAGACACAAACAACTTCGTTTGTATCTAACATGACCGACATTTGTTCTAGATTTTGGGAATGAACAGCTAATTCATTTCAAAGCTTAATCATACAAAAAATGTAAGATTGTAATAAGTTTATAAATTTGCTCCATCATACAGCCAAAGACAGATTTTGTAACCTGTATGAGGGAGCAAATTTTGTCATACATTAAGTTGTTATAAAACTTAAGATCATATCTTTTTAAGTTGCATTTCATAACAGAGACGCAGTGCCACTACTTGGGTTTAACATCTATTCCCCTAACCTCCATACCTCTCGTTTAAAGTGGAAAAAATAAATCGAAAGACCTTCATCATAAGTCGGTATAAATAAAGAGAGAAAAAAAAAAAGAAATAACCCCACTTAACTTGGCTCTGGTGGGATCAACTTCAAACTTCGCATCCATTCACAGAAACTGGGATCATCGAAATGAAGAAAACTACTTTTCAGCTTTGTCCTCTGCTCTGTGGACAATGTTCTAAGTTGCGGAAATCTGGCCTCCTGCAGCCATCAAATTAATAATATGTTAGCATCATGGTTAGGAATCACGACCCTCTACAATGGTATGATTTTGTCCATTTTGAGCATAAGCTCTTGTAGCTTTGCTTTTGGTTTCTCCAAAAGGCCTCGTACCAATTGAGATGTATTCCTTACTTATAAACCCCTGATTATTCCCTTAATTAGCTAACGTGAGACTCCCTCCCAACAATCCTCAAAAGTCGTATCAAGTTCTCTAGTTCTCTAGCTCGTGGAAAAAAAACCAAGCTTCCTCAGTTATTTAATTGCAATGAAGCACCATCCTTCACAATGAGGTGAAGTGTGCTATTCTCCTGGGTCTTTACAAATAAGATCAGAATATAAGGATTCATGAAGAGTGGGTTATATCTTCTTCTTTCTTACTCACCTGTTCGTAAGGAGGGTCCTTGTGTGCTGGTATCAGCCGAGAAGCAAAATACCGAGCCTGAGAGCTCCCCTCCTGCTTCAAATTAAGAAGGTTTATCGTTATTGCAGAGACCCTTTTAAAAGAGAGAGAGAAACAGTAGCCTTAACCTTTTTCATTAAGGGAAATGGAGAAATTGTAAAATAGAGAGGTCTCCAGAAAAAGGGAACAACAAACAGGTTTACAAAAACACAATCCAATTAGAGAAATTGAAAATTAAAAACCACAACGAGGAGAAACATATAGCATTGTAACGACACAAACCTTGAACGCAAGAATCCTGGGAGCCGGAAACCTTGATTCAGTAAGCTCTTCTGCTAATGTTCTGCAAGCTGCTAAAGCAGCTGCACTTTTTCCTTCTTCAGCTGCAAGCTCAGCACCCTAAGTACACCAATAGAAGAAAAAGAATAATAAGTCCGGCTATAAGAAAGGGCAAAAAGGAAAGCGAATTAGAAGATGAATGAGAAGGAAAAAAAAAAAAAAAAAAACAGAACATTTTAAGGCATGGCTATAGAGGAATAGAAATAATCGATCATAGGTTAGAAAGAAGGCAAGGAGAGAACACTCCTACCCTCTCTATATGTTCTTGTTCATCTGGTATTTAAGAGTTCATATAATGTACTTTCTAGACACTGTTTTAGTGGGGGAAAAAAAAAAATAGTATTATTGTCGGGAACTATCTTGTACTGTTTATGTTCATTGACATTCAATTGTTTTTATCTTCATTGCGGTAAATAAACAATACTTCTATACAAGAGAAAACTTCAAAACAGCAAAATGTCGTATCTATTCTGCAACATTTTAGTTTATATTATTGGAAATTTCTCAAGAAAAGACTAAGTTATAAATGAGTTTATTGAATACAAAATTGTCCTTTCTAGCGTTTCTAACTATTTTTCTGTTTATTAAAACTGATACTCAAATCAAATCAGATGCCACTGAACAGGGTAAGAACAAAATTTCACGTAGCACTTGTTTTCAAGACAAAGTACCAATCGTAGCATTCCAAGCAAGAAATTGAAGATGACACTGTAATATCTGAGATTACAAACTAAACATGAAGCATGCCAAAATAAAAATAATCTGCCAAAAGATAGTGTAGAGTAAAGGGTGGCATACCAACCAAATGAAGACATCTGTTCCATGGTCAAGCACAACAGCAGCATCTGACTGCATCACGAGGTCATATGCTGGAAGTTCTTCAAAAGTACCCCCCTCCCGGTGCATTAAACAACGAGGTGCTACCATGCGGAGGGAAAGGTCGAAGGATGCATTCAAAAACAAGTTTCTCAATACAGACCTTTCATCTTCATGACCAACAATGCTTCCAAGAAGAGGGCCTCTTCTCAAATGGAACAGAAGCTCTGGCATTAAAGATAGTCCCTTTGGAAACTGATAGATCTTTGACTTTGGTGCCAGGGCCCCAAATTTCAAAGCAATATCTTTTACTCTTTCATCTATTGTAGTCCGCATATCTACAGCATCAGACTGGCTTTTAGCTTGCAAGGCAGTCCTCTTGGCAATAAGGACTGCAGCTATTTCATCTTGAACACTTTCAAGATATTCTGATAAGCTATCAACAGTAGGCAATCTTATAGTAATTACTCTTGATATGTCAGCTTGATAAACATTTGAATATTGTACAACAAACTGGAAAAATACAAAATCACTCTTTATGTCTCTCTTAGTCTCCATGGAGAGTGAGAAGCTTTGAGCTTCTTCTACACTTAGCATTTGAATGTAAAGAGAGGTGTCATTTTTTAAGGTTTCATGTGGATCGATGTGTGCCTCTTCGCCCGGACCAATAACTTGGGTGATTTGAATGTCATCAGAATAGTGTACTTCTAACAAACCATGAGAACCTGCAGCCCTAGCAGATGCCCTCTGCAAGTTTACACCAAAGGCCTCCCCAAAGTCATCGTGAAGAACCAAAACACCACCAGAAGCTTTTACAAGAGGCTGCAAGATAGGAACTCGGACAGGGCATGTTCCAGCACATAGAATGTCAACCACTGTATTCTGTTGATGAGCCTCACGACCAAGATGCTCCATCCAATTTAAAGCAGACTTTTCCATGTGTAGGTAATTTGGATGACTGACAGAATGGAGAACTGACCCAGGGCCATATGTATTAGGTCCACCAGCACAAACAATAATTCTACTATTAGCCCCTGACCTTCTAATCGCTCCTCGAGACACTTCTGCTGAAGGTCCTTGGATTATGGCAAGAGCAACTTCAACTGCAGTACCAAGGCACCTATCTCTAGAGGCTTCTGGAATGCTTAATTTATAAGGCCTCAGTGATGAAAATATCGTATGCGCTGCACGGAGTGAGGCGTGCATTGGCGATAAATATATCCCTGATCCATAAATTAATGCTTTCAAAGACTCCAGAGTTGGTGATTTATCACCAGGAAGCACATCAGCAGAGGCAACAGATTCTTCTGAAAAATCATGCACTGATACAGTACGTCCATACAGTATAATTCCAATTCTTGTTGTGGGGGAAACTGAATCAATAAAAGCATGCAAGGAGCTCTGGAGATGCTGAAGGTGTGGCTCATCTAACGACTCATCAACAACCAGAACAATGGGAGCAGAAGTTCTTGAGTCAGAAGCTTGAATAAATCCTGGTCTCCGATTCCCAGTTCTGACATAATCAACCACAGATGATGACAGTTCTGGAAAATGGTAAAGATCTTCTTTCCTCCGTGCTGCATATTCACCCTCACTTTCATTCAAATTCCGACAAATTACACACTGCCATTGACCTGAACCAATTAAGATATTGCAATACAGATTCGAATAAGCTCCACAGCTTGGACAACGATGGGGCTCACGCTGTATTATTTGAGGACCAGATGAAACATCCCTCCCCGGCGAAATCAGTGCTCCAAAACCCAAACTAGGAACATTACCTTGTTTCTTCAGCTTCAACACCTGTATCCAGGTTGAGATAGCAGCAGATTGCAAGTAAATTTATGGCAACTAAATTTTATGAAACAATTGAGGTTAGCAGTCCGAATGAGAGAGAACAATTATATCAGAGTTTCAACATTCATTATAACTAATCAGGGAAAAGAAGAGAAAGCAATACCTTCTGCGAAGAAAACAGAACATATGGCGAATCCCCCACAGGTTGAGGAGAAGCTGGTAAGGCGGAAGCAGAAGAGAAGATGATAGGCTGAGGAGATGCCGGTGAAGTACGAAAGGGGACAGCAGTAGGCGGGATGGGAGAAGTAAAAACAGGAGGTCCGGGGGGAGTACTCAAACGAGGAACGGGAGTAGCACCTATAATTCCATTCCCCGGTGAGGGTGCCGACATCTCATCCTGTTGGAATTCTGGAGGAAATCTGGATGGTCCTGTCGAGATTAAGGGCGGAGGCATTGTCTCAGAGCATGGTGCTGCAGTGTCGGGTTGCCGGACCGGGAGAGTGGCGGAGAATCCATGGGAAAACTGAGGTGTATAGGCCATTGGGGAGTCGAAAACAACGGAATCAAAGGCGATGAAAGAATCGAAACGGGCGGAGAAAGAGGATAATATTGCAGAAAACAACAAAAAGAATCAAGGAGATGATCGGAATGAAGGGAAATCAGGTCAAATTCGCTTAACTTCAATTCTTCATCGACGAAATCAGAAATGAATGAACGCCATTGAAGAAGAAAGAGAAGAAAGAAATCTATGATTCGTAGAAGGAAGAGAGAGCGATCAAATTGAATTTGAATGCAGAAGGAAGAAGATCAAATCTGATCGAAGAAGCGTTCGTCGTAAACAGAGTGATTGAGAGTGCGAAGGGAGTGAACCGCCGTAGCAGTTTGATTTTCGCGGGAGCCGCCACGTCCGTCGAACACTAACGTGACCGTCGCCTACCTGTAATTAAATTTCAGCCTTTTTCCTGAACATAAAATTTTCCTTCTAGACTGGAATAGGTTCCCAACTCAATTAAACCAGCTATTTTCAAGTTCGGTTGAATGGTTGGAGTATTTTTTTATTATTATTTTAAAAAAATTACACTTATATATAATATATGTTACGTTAATAATTAAAATTTTATAAATTACAACGCATCATTAACATTGTTACCAACCTTAAATATTTTTATTTAAAGTTCATAATAATGATAAAAGTAAGGTAGAGTAGAGTTGAGATGAGATGTAACTCTATTTTCGAATTAGTTGGATTGGTTAGGTTGACGTGACCAATAAAATGCAAACCCGCAAATCAAACCAAATTTTCCGTTCTCCATTTTTTAAAAGTTCAACCCAACTAAAACTTTAAAAAAAATATGGATTAGATAACATGAGTTAGTCGAGTTATCGAATCATATGAACGTCACTCATCATTGTCAAAATTCAAGCCAAATTTTAAAAATTAAAAAGTAATAATTTTAAAAAAAAATTGTTTGATACGTTGGAAACGTATATTGTAAAACTTAAAACCATATCGTAAAACCTAAAACCAAAAAACTAAATAATTATTAAACGAAACTAACCTTATTTATTTTTATCCGAAGAAATGTTATGTCATTTTCATATTAAGCATTCTAAGAGAAATCGAACCGCATAATCAAAATGGACGCTTACACAAAACCACGGGAAAGATTTTGAAATATATGGATAAAATTGAACTAATATTCAAACCTCAGGTTTTCATGTCCATATTTGGGTTCTTAATGGAGTATAATAAGAGACCAAAATAAGAAAGAAGTTTTCCGTTCGAGAAACAAAAAAAAGTCAACAATGATACCCCTAAGAAAAATAACCCGAAAATGGCCCAATAGTAAAACATTTTCTACGTCTTATTCTCCTATAAATGTATACCAATTTCATCAAATTTGAACATTCTCCACAAAACGGTCTCAATGTTCAAAAGATAATCTTCGTGAGCCTTTGACATTTTGGTCAACGATATTTGATCGTAACCAGTTTGGTCATGTTCGGGTCAACAGAAAAACATCCACAACAGAATTTATACAGCTAATTGGGTTACACAGCAACAGCAACAACAACATTTTAAATATGGTAATTTGGATGAGATCGGATAAGCGTTTATGTCGTCTATCTCCCATGATCTGCCTTCATTTGAGAGAAAACTTCAGAAGCAGTCAAGTGAGATTCTACATCTTGACTCATGTCTGGATCGTCCCTTAGAACCGATGAACCAATGGAACCGAAACGCTGAATGGCCGTGGAGGAGGTGCCAATGCCGATGGTTTCACTGTCCTCATGTGGCATCCTGGGGGCTGTGCTCTGTTGAAGCTGCAACGCATACTCCAGGTCCCACAGCACATCGGCCATTGTTGGCCTATTAGCAGCATCCTCTTGTAAGCATTTTTCTATTGTATCACTGAACTTTCTCAAGGAGTTGGGTTCGATTTGGCCCTCCAATTTGGGGTCTATGATCTCTTCAAGCAGCTCCATTTTCTTGCACCGAACTCCCCATTCTGCTAGATTTATTTGCTCTCTTGGGAGTGTTGGATTCAAAGCCGGCCTTGCACATAGAACCTCTAGGAGAAGTACGCCGAATGAGTACACATCGGATTTCTCTGTCAATTGTTGCGTTCGGAAGTACTCGGGATCGAGATACCCGAATGTCCCTTTGATGTCTGTGCTCACATGAGTTTCATCCAGAGGGCCTGCTCTTGAAAGTCCGAAGTCGGACACTTTCGCAACGAGATTCTCATCGAGCAAGATATTGGTCGATTTGACATCACGGTGAATGATACCTCCGGCCGAGCCTTTGTGTAGATAATGCAGGCCTCTAGCTGCACCGATGCAAATTTCAAGTCGTTTCTTCCAAGCCAGAGGAGGCAACTTTGAGTTGTAAAGATGCTCCCTAAGAGTTCCTTTCTCCAAAAACTCATAAACCAAAACCATCTCAAGTCCCTCGTCGCAATACCCGATAAACGAAACGAGATGTCGATGGCGAATTCTCGACAAGATCGTGATTTCCCTCTCGAATTCAGAGATGCCTTGTCCAGCCCCTGGTTGGCTTCGCTTCACAGCTACTTTCATGCCATTCTTCAGAACTCCCTTGTACACTTTCCCAAATCCACCCTCGCCAACAAGGAATTTCTTGTTGAAATTGTTCGTGGCTGTTTTGATTTCAGCAAGCGAGAATTTCAGCCCAAGATTCAAGTTCGGGAGCGGGGAGCTGCTTGTGGTTCTATCAGTAAGCCTGCTGTGAGTACTCCCACCTCCAAACGCCGACAATGGCGACCATTGTGTATGTGTATATGAAGCTTCCTCAGTTTTCCGTTTCCTCCATTTCAGACCAAACCAAATCCCACAGCCTAACATACAGATCAAACCAAAAGCCCCAACAGCCAAACCCACCCAAAGCCCCACTAGTTTGTTCTTACTTTTCTCAAGCCAAGGCGCACTGATCTCAGGATCTTTGCTATGTTCATCCATGGCTTCCATTATCTCAACCCCATTCAGAAACGCATTGAACTCTACAGATTGATTTTTATCCAGAGGACCAACACTGACATTAATCAACCCACTTTCACCCGAATCCACGGCGAAGTCCAAATGAAATGGATAAACGCCTCCAACTTCCATAGAAGCGTCAATCGTCCTACTGAAGCTATCGCCAATATACAAATCGAAGACAAGAAACTTGTTTGTTGATTCACCGACGATATCATAGAAATGAACACGGAGAAGATGAACAGTATGTTTTCTCGAAGGAAAAGACCAGGTAATATTTAAAAAGGTGCGCGTGGAGCTGGCATTTCCATTCAACTGCTTGGCCGATTTGTATACCATATCGGGCGCAAAATAAACATCTGTTTCGCTCTTGTATTTGGGTGTGGATGAATAAATACCGCTGTTTACTGCAGAGCTTGGATTCAGCAGATAAGCGTCGTCCATCTCCCAATTCCTCCATAATCTGTCCCCCTTCATTGAGATTTCAGGACCTCCCACATTAACTCTGTAAATTGTATGCAAAACCAGAAAAGGTGAAACCCTAGCCGCACTGCCGTTTCTTCCATCTGAGATAATTTCCTGAGCTTCCGATTGGATGAAGTCTGGTGGCGTGGGGAACACTTCAATGGCGTTTATATACGCAATAGACGAAGATTTCGGCAAGAATACAATACGAAATTTCTCTGTATTTATTTTCAGGAAGAATTCCTTAATCGAAGCAGAATCGTTACCGTTTAAGTTGGTGGCGTTGACATTTTTCAGAAGGAAAACTCCCAAAGCCGAAACATCAAAAAGCGCTGCGGATAAATCTGCGAGAAACTTCGAAGGAGAGAAATGAAGTCGCACAATATAAAAAGCATCTCGTTCGACGTCGAATTCGTAAAACGCCGGCTGATTGAAAACCCTAACGGATTCATTCAAACCGTTGAGTTCGCGAGAATTCCGCGGAGTGAACCTGAAAGTATCGGAAGCATTCAAGTCGCCGACGAAGATCCGGCCAGTGTCATCGACGAAGTTGGAGGCTGATCCACAGTTGACGAAGTACTTGTTCGGAGGAGTGTATGTCTGAGCGAGGACATGGACGGCGGAGAGGAGGAGGAGGAAGAGAAGAGATAGGATAAACAGAGAGCTCCGAAACGTTTCCATGGAAATGGTTTAGGGTTTAGTTGAAAGCAGGGGAAGGTTGAAGAATTGGAGCAGCTCCGCCATTGAAACCTCCATGATTAAGCCTTCACCTACCATCAACAACTTGGAATTGAATTCCATTAAAGAAGTGAGGAAGATGATGAGAGGTTGATGATTCAACGACATTGACATCAAAACTTTTAGATAATAACTCCAAAAAGACTTCTCTGAGTCTTTTATTGCAAAACAGAGAATGGAATCTTTCAATGGCTGTGGAATTTATGGTCAGCACAAGGAGAAAGGAACGCATGGATGACCTTTCAAACACGGGCTCCGCCTTTTAGATATTTAAATATGGACCCTGCCACGTGGCTTGAAATTATTTTTTTTAATGTTAAATTAATAAAAATAGACCTATTAAAAAAAACATCCTTAAAATTTTCAAAATTACAATTCAATAATATTTTTTAAGTTTTTACCTTCAGTTTATCTTTAAACTTTTAAATATATTTACTTAATATTTTTTAATTTTTAAAATATTTTTACATCTATAATTTTAATAAAAAAGTTTAATATAGGGACAGAAACGTTTATATACCTATCATAGATAATCTTCAAACATTTTAAATATTTTTCTAAAAATATAAAGGTATTAATTTTATTTTTGAAAACTTATGGATATTTTTTTTAACCCACAATTTTTAATTTTAAAAATGTTTTAAAATATTTTTGTAGTTTTAAAATAAATCAAAAGATATTAATAAAAAAATTTAAAACTTAGTTTAAACATTTTTTTAAAGTTAAAATAGTATTTTAAATAAAATTAACCATTTTTTTTTAAGTTTAAAGTTATTTTTGAAAATTTTAAATTTTAATAATATTTTTAGACTAAAGTTCGGGAATATTTTTATTAATTTATTTTTTTTATAATAATTTTTCTTTTCTAGTGTACACAAATAATATTTGTTTTCCATTAATCAATTAAAAATTATGAATTTAAAATAACAATAAAGGGAAATTATTACTGTATTATGGATTTTAACATAAAGGAAAATTATTGTTTCAAGAAATACAAATTAAAAGCTACAATTTTTTATTTATTTATAAAATTAGGAAAAAAAAAAAAAAAAAGGCTTAGGATGAGGAGTTGGGAGTGGGAGCAACGGCAGAAGCGTGGAGCTGAATCAAGGAGGCATAAAACCCTTGTTTGATTGTGATGAGCTCTTCGTGCTTGCCATTCTCGACGATGATTCCATTCCGAACAACGGCGATGCAGTCGGCGTTCATGATCGTGGAGAGGCGATGAGCTACCACCACCGTGGTTCTATTCACCATCACTCTGTCCACCGCCTCTTGCACCACTCGCTCCGACTCTGCGTCCAGCGCGCTTGTGGCTTCATCCAGTAGAAGTATTTTCGGATTCTTCATGATGGCTCGAGCAATGGCCACTCGTTGCTTTTGGCCTCCAGATAACTGCACTCCTCTTTCCCCCACTGTCGTCTCGTATCCGTGTTGCAGTCCGCTTATGAAGCTGTGCGCATTCGCCGTCTCCGCCGCTCTTATTATCTCCTCCTCACTCGCCTTCCCGTACGCTATGTTGGCTCGTACTGTTTCGTTGAAAAGCACTGGCTCTTGGCTCACTAGACCTATTTGCTGCCTTAGCCATTTCAGTTGTAGCTTTTGGATTTCTACTCCGTCGATCGTTATGGTGCCGGAGTCAGGATCATAAAACCTCTGCAACAGCGCGATCACTGTGGATTTTCCACTTCCGCTTTCTCCAACCAGAGCTATTGTCTGAAACAGAGACCACATCAAGATCAAAATCGTAAGCAATTCCCTCTTGAATCATGAACTAAATGAGCTAACCTTCCCAGCATGAATGTGTAGGTTTAGGTCTCTGAATATTTGGATGTTTGGCCTCGAAGGATACTTGAAACTTATATGTTTAAGCTCTATTTCTCCTTTAAGATCGGGCAATATTGTTCCAGATTCATCGCTGGGATCTATCTTTGATTTCCTGTCTAGTATGGCAAACACGGAAGCAGCAGCAGCCTTGGCTTTGGTAGTATCTTGAGAAATTGAGCTGGAGTGAGTTATTCCAGTAGCTGCCATCGTCAATGCATAGAACACCTGCAATGTCCACCAATTCCTCAAATGTTAAAAGAAGAAATAATGAGCACTGCAAGCAATAGAGATGGATTGATTTACTTGAAACACTTGAGTAAACGTTGTTCTGCCACTGTCCACCAGACGGGCTCCGACATAGAATGTGATGGCGTATATATTGTACAAGAAGAAGAATGACACTCCAAATCCAATTCCACTAATGAGGCCTTGTCTTATCCCTGATTTCAGTGGGGCTTCACATCTGGTTTTGTACATGTCCATCACTTTATCTTCCGCACAGAACGAAGCAACTGTTCTTATGCCCCCTACTGCATCATTTGCAACTTGGCTGGCTTCTTCATACATACTCTGCATTGCAAAACACCTTTATGAGTATGAGCAATCACACGGGATGACCATGTTTAAGACTTACCTTGGAGTTGTTGCTAAATCCATTCATGGATTTAATCTGTATAAGCGAATTGATTCCAATGAGAGGAACAAGAGCGAGGACGACGAGAGCCAGTTCCCAGCTTGCATTAAAAGCAATCACCAAACTTGCAATTGCAGTTGCAATGTTGCCCACATTCAGAGAGAGCGAATCCCCGACTAGCGCTCTCACTGATGCTGCATCCGACGATAGTCTTGCACCAATGGCCCCACTTGAGTGTTCAGCCTCATCAAACCAGCTCACCTCCATATGAACCACCTTCTCAAAACACAGTGATCTGATGCGTTCGATTAATTTACATCCCGCTACCGAAAAGAAGTATGCTCGCCATGGATGTGCTACCAATGAGGCCACGCCAAGCACTATGTAAATGACAGCCCAACACTTGGTATCCTTTTTTAGCATCTCTGGGGGCTTGTAATATGTCTTTATCACATTTGAAAGTAGTAATCCAAAAATTGGAAGTATCACCCCACACATCACTGTCCCAATTGTTCCCATCAGAAGCATGGGCATCTCTGGCTTGTTAAGTGCGGCAAGGCGACGGAGAGAAACAGGAGGAGCTTTCGACTGCTCTTCGATCATGTCTTTTACGTCACGAGCATCTGTTAGATCATGCTCACTTGTTAAACCAAACATAGACAAAGATCGGTGGCTGCTGTGGGCAACCGACGATCCTCTACTTATGGATCTCAAACAATGAGCCCTCTGACTTGACTGTCTCATTGATTCCAGAGAAAACTCTGTTCGGTTAACGACTTCAGAAGCGTGTTCCGAGTCTTTATTTGTTTCCTGCAGGCGTATCAGTTGTGAATATGCGCCGCTCGGATTCATGATGAGTTTTGAGTGAGAACCTGCTCAATTAAACAACCATGAAGGATTTCTTACAATTTGTGGGAACATGTAATGAAGAACATGTACATTACCTTTCTGAACCATCTTTCCTCTGTGAATTACAGCAATCATATCAGCGTTCCTAACTGTGCTCAAACGATGGGCAACAATCACAGTAGTTCTATTGACCATTATCCTATCTAGAGCCTCTTGCACAACGCTTTCAGATTCTGCATCAAGTGCACTCGTCGCTTCATCTAGAAGTAGAATTCGAGGGTCTTTCAGAATTGCCCTTGCTATTGCAATCCTCTGCTTCTGCCCTCCGGACAGCTGAGTTCCATGCTCCCCCACCAAGGTATGCAATCCCTACACCATCAAATTACATTAATACGTTTAGGTTTTAGATGCATACAGCTGCACAAGAGGATAAATATATGATATGGTGGAACCTGAGGCAGTTTGTCAATGAATTTAGCAGCATTTGCTAGTTCACATGCACTCTTAATTTCCTCATTAGTTGCATCATCCTTGCCGTATGCAATGTTATCTTTAATTGAGGCAGTGAAGAGTATTGGTTCTTGGCTGACAAGACCGATTTTTGCCCGAATCCATCTAAGTCGAAACTCTTTCAGGTTAACGCCATCGATGAGCACCTCACCGGATTGTGGATCGTAGAATCTCTCTATCAAACTGATCACGGTTGACTTGCCACTCCCACTCTCCCCAACCAATGCTGCAGTAGTGCCACGAGGAATGTGAAGAGAAAACCCACTGAATATGGCTTCGTCTGGCCTGGTTGGATAGCTGAAAGTCACGTTCTTCAAATCTATGTCTCCCTGAATATCATCCAATGTTTTACCCTTTGGATCATAGACATCAATGCTTGGCTTCCTTTGAATTGTCTCAAACATTTTCGACGCAGCAGCTCGACCTGATGCAAAGGCACTAAAGCACGGCAATATTTGCCCGAGGGACCTGAAAGAAATTCGCATGTGGATACCTGTTTTAGCAAAATGAAGCACAAAATGGCATGGACTTGTGGGTACTAAAGATCGTCATGAACTCACATTGAGGCTTCCAAAACAGCTAAAATGATGGTGATCACTTGTCCCCCATCATATCCTTTCTCTATAATCATCTTTCCACCAAACCAAACAGCTAAAGAGTAAGTACAAAATATGACCAGCATTACCGTACCAATTCCTATTCCACCACCCAGAGCTTCCCTCACACCAGATTTATAAGCATCTACCAGGAACTTCTGGTAACTGCTTATAGCTTGCTTCTCACCCGTAAACGACGCAACCTAAGGACAGGACAATCTCAAGGTTCAAGCTAAAGTCATCTTTCCAAGTAATAGAGTATTGAATTATGTATACCGTTCTTATTGAGCCAATGGTCTGTTCAACCACATTTGCTGCATTAGCATAAGCACTTTGCCCTCTAGCAGCCATTTGCGACATGAATCGAGAAATCGTCGCTCCAGCTACCACAAGAAGTGGGATAACAGATACCATTACCAGAGCCAGCTGCCAGCCTCTTATGAAAGCTATTGTGAAGCCTCCAATGAAGTTTGTGATTAGTTGGACAGTTTTCCCAACCTGCATCAGAAGAACAGGTTAGTTTCCTTTGAGTTGCATCCCATTTGCAAGATCAACTTGGAATTTTGAGGTATGTTACCTTCTCACCCATAGCATCTTGAATGAGGACTGTATCACCAGACATTCTGCTCACAACCTCTCCAGTGCTTGTTTCTTTGTCGAAGTAGCCGACATCTTGTCTCAATATAGCTTTCAAATACAGCCCTCTGATCCGAGCAGCCTGTCTCTCCCCCGTCACGATCCAGCAACACACCTCTGCAGGTACGTTATCTAATTAAACTCATCCCATTTCATTTATGTGCCTATGTATTAGACTTTGATTTTGGTATCCACTTACGGAGAAACGCCGCGACAGCCACTCCCACGGCCAAGTACACAAATTTTAGGCACACCTGAATTCATAGATTAGTTGATAAGGCAATGAAGATCATACCATACTTGTAAAATGGATTGGTTAGAAGTTTTGTTTAACCTTGGAAACTTTAGAAACTATGCTGTGGGTATCCTGGTTGCTTCCAAACGTTTGGATGAGCTCTCCAAAGAGCAGAGTCATTAGAGGCATGCCCACCCCATTCCCTATGCCGCCAACGCTTCCAACTGACATAAGTAAGAAATCGTATGAATCTGCAAAGGCGAAGAGCTTAAGAAAAGATACAGATTTGGGTTCTTTCTTCTTATTCTCCACTCCTCTCTGCTTGCCATTGTTCAAGCTCGAGCTGCTCGGTTCTGATAGCGACGATAGGCCGTTTCTTGCATCCTCATGTCTCTCCATTCTCTTTAAGCTCCACAGAACCCTCCAACTTCAGCCAAACTCTGTTCCTTATGATGTTCCAGACGCACGATGCATCTCTTTATGCTCTCAATTCTGTTAGTTCGTTTTTCATTTTATAAACTAAAGGCTCTGATGGTGCTTGGACCCATCTGAAATTTTGGATTGGTTGAGAGTTGGTAACTCGAATAATCCGAATAGAGTTTACAACCCAACCCACCTCTATGAAAGTGGAACATATGAAATTGCCAAATTTCTCTTGATCAACCTCTTTCCTTTCAAGAAGATTCGACTAACGATCTCGTCGAATTAGGTTCTGTTTCAATCTGCTCCGTTAAATTTCAAAATTCCTTTTGCCAAATAATAAAAAATGAGGATTTCTCTCTACAATTATCAAACACTCCACGGCACAACACATCACTAACATTGGTTACAAAACTCGAATGTTCTTAATATTCATAATAGTATGGTAGAGTTGGATTGGATTGTAACTATACTTTTTGCTTAGTCAAATGATCTAATAAAAAAAATGTTAATTTGTAAACTGACTTAATTTTCAGTTTTCCAAAAATTCAATCCGGTCCAAATTAAATATATATATATAATCTATGATTTGGATTGGATAATCTAGGATTGTGTGGTCCTTGGATTATATAAACATCTCTACTCTTCACATCTATGCTGCAACGAAAAGGAACAAGGACTTAATCCTCATTTTCGTGTCTTGTTTTAATTAGAAAAAATTGCTGAGTTTCATCTACAAAGTCAACCCTTGGAGAGATAGAAACAGAGAGTAAAATGAATGAATATCCAGTTTATTGATACAAGTAATTGACTAGGAGAAGTTTATTTATTATATTCTTTTAATGTGAATTAATGAAACTAGGAAAGCTACCAACAAGATTTTTTTTTTATTTTTTATTTTTAATTAGTTTGAATATTTCACCAATGAAAGGGGGAAAATTTTGAAAGATATATGATGTGACAAAAATTAAAAGAATTAAAAAAAAAAAAAACACAAAATTAAAACAAGACATTAATGTTCGTCGTTTGCGCCGCTACCTTCTTCCCTTCATTAATTTCCGGAACAAACTTGCATGCCTTACCACTCCCTCGTACCCAACCTATTAATCTATTAACTTAGTTTATTTATTAATATTGATATATTTTCATTCATATAAAATTAAAATTTTAACTTCTCCGTCCATTTAGATATTTTAAACTTCGATCATACTACAGAAAAAAACAATGATGAACGAGATTTATAAACAACATGATCATGTTATACTTGAAGTGTTTCTAAGAATGAAAACTGTCCATAGACCAACATGGATTCTCTCAACGTAGTCTATCCTTACCCACAGGATTCTTAGAAAGAAAAAATTCATATGAATTACCCAATCTATAATTGTTTTAAGTGATATATGTTTACTTTTGAAGTTCGTATGATTGAGCTACTAAAAAGAAAGTTGCATCTTGTTGATTTAGCTTTCGTTTTAGTTCGCCTCTAAAATGTATTCTACTGGGAGATGTTCATTTTGATACCATTTGTAATGTCTCGTGCCCATGATTTAAATTAGTGTTTGGAATCTGTATTTCAAACCCGTGATGGTTGTGACATTCGTTTGCATCCTATGCAACATGACCACATTACCTACATAACTTGTCTTGAAGTGATTCGCTGTGGTTGTGACATTCTCTCACGTCCTAGAAAACTACTTAACATAGTATCGACTATTTTCATTATGCCTCAGTTTCCTTAACGTCCTCGCTATTATCTCGACATTCTCTAGGAAGAATTATGAGTATAGTTGTTGTTTTAAACTCTCATAATTGTCCACGGTATATCCACCATCTTGAATGTCCATATACTTGGATCTCCACTACAACTTTGCATCGTTAGCTAGATGCATTATGGCCAACATGACCTTTGCCTCTTGTACCACGGTGCCTATGACTCGAAAGTATTGTTCGAGGTCAACAATAAAATTCTCCAAAGCCTTAGTGTCTCAAACCCCACTGAAGAGCTTAGGCTCTTGGACCTTCACCTTGTTAAATTGGACTACACTACCAATTGGAGTTTGGTTCTCAACCACTCTCATGGTGAGGCTTAACTTGGCGCTCAGATCCGCAGCCTTGACTACTAGAAGGGACGCTCTCAAATCCTTGAACATTTTTTAGACCATTTGAACAATTGCGTGCTGGACATTGTCTAGGCTCTAATATGTTCTTCCATCTAGGAGACATAGCCCATTGAATTATCCCCACGCTCGAAGCCACCAACAGTTGTAGTCTTGTCCTTTAGGACCTTGAACCTAACCATTAATTCACGGTCTGATATTGCCTCAATGCAGTCTCTTATTTCATCGATCCAGATGGATTTAGCGGTAATCGTAGCCCATGCAAGACTCCAAAAGCCTCATTCTATCAGGAACTTCATTAAGATAGAGCAACTAATATTCGATATGTACTAATTGATCAGCCTATGATTTGCCCAATTGTTTTACAGCGAACATGTTTGATTACTAAGATTCAAGGAGCCAATTTAGTCATAATCACACTCTTGTGGTAGTGGGATAGCAATTGTGCAGAACTTGTTCTAAGTTGACGAACAAGTTAATCATACGAAAATTATAAGTTACAGATAATTTGGACATAGAATCGAGCCTCAAAAAAATGTAATAGAAACGTAAGCGAGGAAATGAGTTGAAAACATTTTGTAAAAAAGCAATGTTACAGGCTAAAAGCAAATAGACTACCACCACAACTTTGATAGCATATAACCCGAGTAGAAAAATTGACAACTAGTCACATCCCCTATAATACATTTTGGGGGTATTTTGGATGTTTCGGGTGTAGACATGATTCTAATGAACAATCATCCATTTTAGTATTGACGAAAATAGTAAAAACTTAACTACACATGTAAGCGAATGAGTTTGGAACGGGCATGCGACCATGAATAACATGTCCTAGACAAGCACGATTAGGACATTCGACTACAAGCAACATGCTTTGGACAACCATGACCGTGATATCTAGCATCTACTATAAATACTCCTCTACCCAGCAAAATTTTCATCCAAGAAAAATAAAGTGGAGTAGTGTTCTAACAAATGTCTTATAATCTTTTCTTGATTGGTTTTAATAAAGAGTGTGAGTATTTCTCACAAACGAGTTTTGTTCAACAACTCATATTCTTCCTCGAAAAATTCTCAAAATCGTTGGATGTGTATGACAACTCTAGAGGGGTGAATACGGTTTTAACTATAAAAATATCTAAGCGTGATTAATTTTTCTAATTATGAAACTTTTTATAAATAAGGAGAGGATGATAATTGATATAACAAAATAGGTAAGTCAAAACAATAATCAACTATAAGAAACTTAGAACATGCAATAAGTTACGATAATAATTTGAAATTAAATAGGAAAGAATTCCGATGTGAATACAGGTCAAATGACAAATTCAAAATTTATTATAAATATAATAATATAATAATAATAATAATAAAAAGTAACGTGAGTAACGGTTAAATTCAAATTTCAAAATTTATTGTAAATATAATAATATAATAATAATAAAAATTATGGGAGTAACTGCTAAAATTTCAAATTTATATTAGGTATAAATAATTTTATTTAAAAATATTATAATAAGAAAATCTTCATCATTTGTTACTCTTCCAAAATTACAAGTGTCATACTTTCATTTGTCTATCATTTTGATTTAGCTGCCACATCATCACGTCGGGTATATTGTCTCGATTGTAATTTCTTCGTTTTAGTTTTGATTTGAGTGATTGAAAAGTTTAGTTGAAATTGTTATTCCCAACCTTAACCTTGAAGTTTTTATGATTGAGCCAATGCTGTTCAATCATAGAAAGCTCGAAAGCTCAAAGTTAAACGTGTTTAACTTGAAACAATTTTTTGAGTCAAATTGAAATAACCTGTGTTAGTATGAGAGAATAGTCACTCTCAAAAGCACTTCAAGTCAAGTAAGTAACGTGGTCATATCGCATGAGGTGCATAGGAATATTGAGATCACCTAGTGTCGAATCCAAGTTCAAAAATTCTAGTCTGAATTCCATGAGACTTTACTGTGCACGATAAAAACATGAATGAACTAAGACTACATTCAAATGACAGTAATCTTGAAAATATGATATTAATAAATAATTAAGATAATTGATAGTTATTACAAATATCAAAATAAGATACATATTCTTTTTCGATAACTCAATTATAAGAACTCCGATAGTCCTCCTGAAAAAAGTGAAGAGTATTGGTTTATCGGGATAATCTCTACTATTAAAGACACCTCGAGACAAGTAAATAACATGGTCGTGTAATTGAAATACAAGAAAATGTCGAGACGTTCGTGTATCAAATCCATATTATTAATCTCGGACACGACACAACACATTACACGTTACCGATTTTGACATGATAGCAAATTTAATAAAAATACATTACTTTATTTAAACATGAAAAAAACAGTTAATTTATTTGGAAATGGGAATAAAAACAATTAGCAAACGGTTAAATAGTAGAAAGGAGAGTTCAAAGGAGGAAGAGCTGTGAGATATGGTGCAGAAAGGAGGGGCGATGCGGCTCCTGGACGCACCATGTCATCAGACGAATGCCCTTTCTAGGTAATGGAAGACACCCCACAATTCCGACGGGTATCACGGCGGAGCCTTGGATCGGAACCACATGCACCGGCGGTCCCCATCCATAGTCCACCTGGTTGAACCCTAGCCTTCCCCACTCCGAGATGAACAGAGTGGAGTAGTTGAGCGGCGGCGCAAAAGGATCGGAATCTCTCCCCTCCTCCATCTGCCGCCGCCGCATGTACTCTCCCATCTCCCTTCCAACTCTGCTCTTCGCTTCTTGTATCAGCTTCACTACCTCGTTTATCGCCGCCTCCCCGATTCCCCTGCAGCAACGGCTAATTGTCACCGGAAAGAAGCAGTTTCCGTAGAACCCCTTCGGCAGAGGAGGCTCCACAAGCTCCCGGCAGTTTGCAAAGAAAACTAGCTTCACTTCTT